GCAAAACTCACTGATGATGCCGGCGAAACGTTTGAGAATGTACCAAGTCCACTGTCTTATGCTGGAAATCATGACAACTACTGTGGCAGACGACTTCGGACTAGGTGCGTTCTACTAAATCGCCATGACAACAAGACCAAGTTGCGACAACGAGGTCAACCATTTCTATAAAGCATTATTGATTAACAATTGTACTGAGTTGCGACCAATTGAAAAATTCAACTAAGAATCGTGGTAAACTAAAGCAGAATATATCATCTAAACTACATATTATCTATCTTACCATTTAAACATCCCCTTACCATGATTCAGACCAATGTATTTAATACTGCTGCCGTTATGTAAGCTCGAACCGAACTTTACACAACCAGTAATTAGGAAGTAAAACAAACCTAATTACCTGATATACTACCTTCCCAGTCCTAAGGTTCCAGCCTAAATATGGTTTTTCTTAAACTCTTGGTTGACAATGGCATCAAACGAACAGGAAGCAAACTGATTACACTAGCAGAAACCCTCTATTACCCGACTTAGTATTTTCAATAAGTCGACCCAACAGTCTTTCATAAATCCGTCTTGCCCGGCTACTTTCACCCCTTCATTATCTTCTTCGATGATTTAAAATCCCTTTGTATGTCTCCACGTAGTCTATAGTCCACATGGTATGCTCTGCATGCCCAGCCCATCAGACAGCTATCTCTTCATACAGTATAAACCAAATAAAATAAAGTGAAAAAATCCTTTAGGATAAATGAATTAAAATAAGGACTTCTCAATGGATAATGATAAATCAAAAGAAAGCGTATGTTTAAACCAAGATAACAGTTAGATTAGTTGGTGGCTAGCAAGTTGTAATTTTGAGCAAAGATTGACAAGGTTAACTAGATACTGGAAATTAATAAGGATACTAGGACAGAGGAGTCCAGACCAGGTGCGTCCACCAAGGTACTTCTGAAAACACGACCAAGTTGTTAAAATGAAGCCAAACCACTTTATATCCTCAAAATTAAATTAACTTCAATCTGACTCATTGCATTACTTTCGTATGAAAGTGCATGAAGAAGAGATTCGTAAGTCGATCTCACCAGAAGAAGAAGGCCAAATCCTGGTGACTCAACTGGTCTGCTCAGTGATGCTTCAAACTTTACTCACGTTCGTCCAATATGCTAGATTAAGCTCATCAACCAAACGAGACATGCTAGATTACGCAGCTCCAGTCATTCCTATCCTTGGATGGTTAACGTTAATGACCATAGACTGAGAGGTTAGGACAAGTGACTTTGTAACTTTACTTGCAAGCTAACATCTTATTATCTGAACCATACTTGCTTACCAGAGCCTGAAATTAGCCTTTTGAGCACTCCAAACCAGGACCGATATTGCGTAGACGTTAACACACACACATTAGAGCCAAATTAGCGGGACCAGTATGAAAGATAATTAGCCAAACCACTTTAATGTAGGTTTTTTAATTTTATTTTGCTTAATTTAGTCTATATAAGAAGATAGAGCCGAATAGTCTTCTTGCCCTAGTATTGACGTGAGACTTTTACAGGAATGAGACCCAGCTTTGATGATGTCCATCAGATGATGGACGAAAGCTTAGCACGCTTTCACCCGAAACGAGGGAGGTCTCGTGGACTGCGTCAACCTGAACATCGTATAAAAGCCAAACGGCTGCAGTACAACTAGATTCAGCCATCCTCTTCTGGTGAGATCAACCTACGAATCTCTTCTTCATGCACTTGGTTATGAAATAAAAGCCCCCCCAGCAATGTTATCTCAGTAGATTAATCGAAACCCAGTTTCTCTTCGTATCATTGCATTCCTATTTGGAACACCCAACTTTTGGAGGCAATCATATGATACCTACTAAAAAATATAATTAGTAGGAATTCAAAACATGATTATGGTGTCGTTTCACGATAGAAATGCAATTTTAGCCAAAAGAGCTTCATTTCCGCCATCTCAATATAATTTTTTATTATAGCTCTATCCTTTTCCTAACAAACCAACCCTTAATTTTACAATAATATTTTAGCCGCCCCCTAACAATGTTATCTCAAGAGAATTATCGAAACCCAGTTTCTCTTCGTATCTAGTAAATCTTCCTTCTAACTCAATTCGTCAGAGATCTTGAATTAAGTAGATTAAAACATAGCCCACAACTCGCTCCACACGTCCCTGCTTGTTAGATTATTCTCATTTTTCTTAAAGTAATTTATTAAATTCATTCAGTTAACAGCCCTCAGACGGGATCCGAGACGATCAGCAATTTTTCATATTCATGACAAGAAAAAAAACCTTAAAATAAAGTTGTAAGGCATAAATAAATTAAATTCTATTCTTGTGAAAAGGCCGACAACTATGCGGCAATGTAAAATAAGTCTGGTCAGCTGAAAAAATGAAAGACTCCCTGATTACAGAAACATGGTGAATATTGAGAAAAATCTAGTTGAACGCAGGGTGATTAAATCAGTGCGCGTCAACGGATATTGATAAAATATAAAGCAAACATAAACTTCAAGTAAGTAAAGTTGAACCGAATGTGCGATGAGCAGACAAAATCTATAGTGAAGATAGGAAATAAGACTATGACGCACAAATGGAGTAAGCTGGCTAGAAGTAAATCTCAAAAAATACCCTATAATAAGTTTTATGCGGGGGTTAGATGTTACAATGAAGTCAAATTTTATGGGAAGCAGAACGACACACAAGGAAAAATGCCAAACTAGCATTGAGACTTTCTGAACCACCAAAGGTCAGAAAATTCTGAAAGATTAATATGTATATATATATACATTTATATATATATATGTAAAATCACAGTTACTCCTGCCCAAATCCTTCAGTTTCCTCCATTGCAAGAGACAATTTCTCAGCAAGCTGGTGGTATGATGAATAAGGAGGAAGGTCGAGGCGATTAAAGCAGGTGTGACTTCGTGGTAGCCAGGTTTCGGCGCCAGTTTTTTCAATGCAGAAGTTTTGACGACCATTGCTACCTGAAGATCGAGGCAAAAATCAAGATTGATAAAAAAAGATCCTTGATGAGATTAAGCTTAGATGGCCAACTATTGAGGATGCCATGAGACGAGGTGAAACATAAGAAACTTGAGGTATTTAACAATATAATTCCAATAATGGATGTTCCTGCAAATACCGTCAAAAAGAATCCCTTTA